AAACAGCCCTCTGCTAATGCCCATGCTTTTGGTATGGTTTTGTTTCTCCAAATAGACTTAATGAGCTTGCTGAGTCTTTGAAGTAGTTTTGGACAGTTCTTGTACACTTTGTATGTGTTCCCTGATGGTCCTGGGGCTGACGATGATCGGGCATGTTGCACTATCTGTCGTATCTCCTCCATCTTGATGTCACCTAGGTCAAATGCAATCTTAGGAGGTGGCTCACGAATAGGTAAAGGACATTCCCCTAATGGAGTTGCTCTCTCAGGATCACTGTGAGCAGCTCGAACACTTTCCTCGACATCCTCCTTTGGGCATTGTAATTTCCCACCTTTAGGTTTCCCAAGTAAGTTGGATGTATACTGGAATGGATTCTTGAGAAAAGATTTTCGAGCTCTCTTCTTTTCTCTCTGCTTTTTCCTGAGGTTCTCTGCTCTTCTAAGAAATGAAAGCTGCTTTCTGAGGCTGTCTCTTAGATCTTCCAGTGCCGGTTTTTCAAAGTCAGGGGCATGCTTCCATCTCCATGTGAGCCTTCTCATATCTCTTTTTAGTGCAGCTATTCTTTTCTGTCTCCTGCTAGGTCCAGCTTTACCCTCATTCTTGTTGTTTGCTCTCTTCTCCTGGAATCGTTCTGCACACATGGCATACACTTGTCTTGTCATTGATTCCATCTACATCATCCATCTCGTCATCTAGTTCTTTCCAAACTTTGTCTGTTGTTGCAGGCAAGCGCAGTCTTGGCTTCCTTTTGAGAACTGTGCCATCATTCTCTTCTCTGCCAACTTGAGGTGGGTCAGGTTCAGCAGAAACTTGGAGGTCTTGAACACTGTGGTTTAAGTCCTGGTTCAAATCCTCCTGTGTTTTACGGACAGGAGACTCCTTCCTACACTGTTTCTGCTTCTCATGACACTTCATCTTCCCCTTGTGTATTGCAACTCCTCGGATGTTCTTGAAAAGTCCACCACAACTGTCACATCTTGCCCTTGGCTCTACTTGTGTTTCAGGTCTTGTAATCGTCTTCCTTCTCGTTGTCCGGGTCACATTGCTTTGGTCAGTTTCCGTTAAATCTGTCCGATTTGGTGGATCATCCTCCCCCGAGTCTCCTCCCACCTGGGGGTGTTTTCCTTTATTTCTATTCGTAGCAATTCTGTTTTAGGTGTGTCGGGGAGCTGGCCCTAACACCTGGTTTGCTGTCTCTCCAGCTGTCACTGCTCTTTCGCAGACGTCATAGGGACTTTCCCCTCGGTCACTGGCACTGCCAGAGTTAACTTTGATTAAACACAAGAGAGTGCTATGCTACGATGTTCCTGCTTGCCTTTTAACTCACTCGGTCAGTTTGTCATGTTGGTACCAACCTTTACATTCTTCGATGGTTTGAACACCACTATAGCCAGAGCGGTCGACCTTTAAGCGCTACCTGCTGTACGCACTACTCTGCCCTTGTTGGTAAAGGGATGGTGAACAAACCCTCGATGAATGTATTAGCAATTGTCAAATAAGTCGTTGGTTAATGTTGTCTCCCCTTTGCCCATTTGTCATTTCTCCTCAGCCAGAGCCAGCGGGAGGCTTCTTCTGCTGCAGATCCAACTGCTCTGTTTGCTCTCTTGAGCCATGAGGGTGGGAGTCCTACGTTCTTGAACATTCGGTTGAGAGATGTTGATGGAAATCCTCTACAACCTACTTCAACGGGATAGTAATGAACTTTCCACCCTTTGGCCTCTATCTCCTCAACCAGATCTTGGTACATGTACTTTGCGCTTTTGAGTTGGTGTGCTATCTCAATGCGATCTTCCCAAGGTACTGTCAGTTCTATCATAACAGCAATTCTTTTATCCTCTGAGAATAAAAGCATATCTGGTCTTTGGTTTGTTGTCGTGATACAGCTGGGAAATGTGAGTCTTTGGTGTAGATCTACTCTCAGCTCCCAGTCCTGTGCTTGTTGTAAGATGCCATATCTTCCTCGAGAGGTGTGCCTGCTACCGCTAGGCAAAACCTTCCCTTTAGGATTTGCGTTAGCACCCACAAAATGTTTCTCTAAGGGTTGCAACATATCTGCCCTTGGTCCTGGTGTTACAGTTGCATTCGTTTTGTTCATGATCCGTGATTGGTCCACCCAGTGAGAAATCTTTTGAGTATAATTATGTACTGAAAAATGTACTGAATTTTAAGGACAAATTTAAGTGCAAAAATATACTGAAAAATGCACTGAAAATTTAAGGATGAATTTAAGTACAAATATATACTGAAAAATGTACTGAAATTTAAGTGCAAAAGTCAGTATAAAAATGTACTGAAAAATATACTGAAATTTAAGGATAATTTTAAGTATAAATATGCAATGAGAAATATTTGTGCCCAATAATGGAAATAAGAGAAAACGCAAATGTAAGGCATACTTTATAAACTCTAAATCACTCAAAAAGTTCTTAGAATGGTGAAAAAGTGCATGATTTTAAAAGAATTTTTGGCCGGGGGGGGGGGGGGGGTTCGCTTGGACCCCTGAAGCCCCCCCCCCCCCCAACAGGAATGCTATTACATTATGAAATTATTTTACTTTAACCAAACTTAAAAGAGTCTCTCTGTAATCAGGTTTGTTTTGCCTTGTCAAAATATTTTGTTTTGTTAATGGATTAATAAAGTTTCTTTAGACACATCCTTTAAAGCAGACTCTAATCAAACTGGAGAGGCTAGGTTTACTGTAATCAAGTGTTTTCCTTTTAATAAGTTATGTTTTTGGATTTAATTATTTAAGACGCATCCTGTAATAATATCTGATTGCATTTTCTCCATCAATAAATTTATTTTTAGCCCGATCAAACCTATCAAATATAATGCATATATAAGGGTTATGTACTGGGAGGTTTTGGATACCCATATTTCCTGAGGGATAACCCCTTTATTTAAAACTGACCGTACATAACATGTGTATTCCACACCTTTTGAGGTTTCTAGATACATTCTACCTTATTAAGTTCTAAAATTCAAAAACATTAAAGGTACACATTTTCTCAGTCTTAAAAATAAGTTTTTCATGAGATTTTCACTCATATTGCTTGAGCAAATTAATTAATTGATATCAAAATTAACATATATAACATGAACATAGAACCTCATTTGTTCGAGTATAGCAAAATCCATGGTATAGATGTCAAAGTCAGGAAGATGTCGTAATTCAAAATCTAAGTATATTTTTCAGTATTTTACACTTAAATATGCCCTTAAATTTCAGTATATTTTTCAGTACATATTTGCACTTAAAATCACACTTAAAATTCAGTATATTTTTCAGTATAAATATATACTGAAAAATGTACTTAAAATTTCAGTACATTTTTCAGTACATATTTATACTGAAAGGAGGGCGAGTTGTTTGTAAAATGAATCGGGGGATTTTTTTCATGAATTTCGCTTATGTTTTTCATCCAAAAAACATCAATACATTTTAAACATTTTGTTTATTTTACTTTAAGATTACACCATGTAATCCAAAAATATATTTCTCATTTTCAAAGATAATCCATGGATTAACACCCAGGTATTTTTATTTTTCAATCTTCAGAGGGCTGGGAATCAATGATGCTCAACGCTTTTGAATACGATAAATGCTGTTTTAAATAGGTTTTACGTATGCCAATAATTTCTCAAATATTTATACTGAAAAATATACTTAAAAATTCAGTACATTTTTCAGTACATATTTGTACTGAAAACGCTCCTTTCAGTACAAATGCTCTGCCCTAGTGCTTGTTCAATGTTTTTTTATTATCCCAATGAACCAAGTTCAGTAGGGATATGGTGGAACCTCTGTCCTTCCATCCATCCTTCAGTCAGTCAGTCTGGCCGTCCATCCTGAAGATCTCAAATACTATATCTAGTTGATGGATTTTTCATATTTGGTGGAAAGAAGGGTTTTATGCAAAAAAATTCTGATTTTTTTTATAAATGAATAAAAATCAAAGTAATAAATATTATTATTTGAAATGTTGGTAGTATATTCACAACATATGTGTATTTCACATATATTCTGTGTTTTTCACCCTGACCCCCAGGGGCCGTGAATGGGGTCAGGAAAACAAAGTTGCGTTAATTTTGAGATGTTTTGTAGTATTGCTTTATTATACTCAAATGAAAGGTAATTTAGAGTAGATTGCAAATATTGTATTGTTTTCTGATTCAGACCTCAAAATGGCCGCCTAATGTGGGATTAAAAAATTTCAAATCTGACTTTAGATTGAACTCATTTGCTACTCTGTGGAGTTGCCATTTTCTAGTTTTGGTATGCTTTGCCATTTGGAGCATGTTTTTTAAAATGGTTATAAAATCGTAACTCTTGGAAATAGACTAATAAAACTTAGTAGGATGAAAGACCATTTAACAAGGTTCCAATATGACTTAAAGCTTAATCACATAATGGATGATTGAGTTATTTAGATTTGTTTGGGTACCCTTTTTGTGGCTCATCCTGTACTTACTAATAACTGTACATGATAACACTTATAATATTCCATTTCATATTTTCCAAGCACATCTTCACGCCCACAATTTTACAAATGTACAAAGTCCTACATGTTATTGCAACCAAGATAATGAAACCACACACCATGTTATTTTCAATTGTCCCCTCGGGAAACCATTTTTAGTAGACTTTGAAGCACAACTCTGCCAACTAAAGTTTGGTTACTTTCATACATTTAAAACTAAAATGGAAAAATTACAATTATTCTAATATGGTACTCCATCACTTACCAGATGTTTGAATATTAAAATACTCAGTCTCAGTGCAATATTTCTAGAAAAGTGTGCAGCCATCACCCAGGCCCCTGTTGAGTGAACTTTAAACATGTTACCTTGATTATAAGGTTTTATATACTGCATTCATACTTGGCTAATAATGCTCTTTGAGCCTAGCCAAATTGTATTGTATTAATTATTATTGATTTTTGTGAAAATAAAATAAACTATAAATAAAAAAATATATATATATCTCATTTTCCTTACAGATATCTACATTCACAGTTGAAAATCCGAGTGAGTTGCCAGTTTTACTACAAATATTGCCAATCTCCCACTACCCTAGTCCTCAGACCATCCTCAACCTGATGGCTGACCAACTCCCCTCATACATCAATGACGTCACAATCAACAATACAGACACATTCATACTTAGTGACCTAGAACAATATAATGTAAGTATTAAACACCAATTAATTTAAGCTTGCATATAAAATCAGAAAGAAAATGCTTGATATGTTGATCGTGCATTAATACTTTGCATGTAGTCTTCTCGTTTGTTCAGCTTCAATGTTAATGCATAAAACAGGATGCAGCATATACTGTAGATGCCTTCAAGTAAAAACGTTATATATGACATTAAAGACAGAATCAGATCTATAGGGGTGACAAAATTTCAGCCAACATGCACAATTGACCTACCAATCTATTCCTTACAATCTCAAAGAATGGGTATCGATATGGAGAACTTAATTCAACATTTTTTTTCTTTGAAACTAGTAATCCAAAAAATATGAAAAAATTAGACAGCAACAATGCAATAGTCATCTTTTCAACTGTATCACTTTTATTTGATAATTATTTACCAATTTTTTATGTAATTGTTTTAGTAGACCCATCCAACACGGTATTTTCTTTGTGCTACATATTCTTTGGGATTTTTTTTAACAATTTTTCAAAGCTGATTCGAAAAAACTGAGATACACATATGCTTTGTAATCATCTCAATGCAGTTAGGTTGATTTTAGATAAGTATCGAAAAAGTTGGAATTAATGAAATATTTAGCAGTTGGGTTGAATTATTTTACTTTTTTGTGTATAGAGGGCTACTTAAATGCGTCATGTTTATTTTTGACCGAACAATTTTCAATATAAAGATATCACTCATCAACAACAGTTTAGATGTCACTGAAAATTGTAAAATCTATCTATTTATCATTTATGCACGTTTGAGAGCAACGAATTAGAACATAAATAGTTTCTATTGTGTACTGGTAAACCAAGCTACCAATCAGGCTGGTATGCTTTGTTTCACGCACAAGTTGGTTTTCAGATGGATGATTTGCATTGTTATTGCATCCTTGGTCCAAGGGCATTTCACTTCTTTCCATACCCTTGAATTTAGTATAGAGCATTGTGATTGAAAACGCATTTTCTGCGTTGACCACTAGGAAACTCAGCTTATTATGACCCCTAAAATGAAACTAACTGGGCTTGAGTGTAGGGCTGAATTTAAGCATTAATGAAGTCCTTTGAAGAAGGATGTTGTTATTGTAAATAACTAACAACATACCATTCAATAAATACCGATATGTGAGGTAATTACATATCTGTCTTATTTGTTAGGTTTAATATTGTAATGGAACCAAAATAAATCTGATTTCAATTGAAATAATATTTTCCATTTATCTGCTAACGTTATCAAATTCAAATGACAATTCCCTATTTTGATTCATATTCAAAAATTATATGAATTTGCATTTTCATGTAAAGATTTGCAGACTTCTTCTCGATATTCAAACAATGGTTCACACAAACGATCTCAAACACGACCATCAATCCTTAGTTTTGATTTTTCTATGTTAATCATATATCGAACCTGAATCGAATTAGCTTTTGTGTTTTGGGAAAAATCTGAATTTACATGCAAATCTTCAAATGGAGTACATCGTCCCCTTTTGTGTAATGGTTCTGAATCATTGAAAGTAACCCTAAAGAAACATTATTCCAAAAAACATTTTCCACAAACAAGAAAGATCCAATAAAACTAGTAAAAAAATAACTAAATAAATAAATTGCACATTTTGATCATAAAATAAACGATCGAGTATAGATGTTTTATGATGAGCTTGTTTTTTTCGGGCGATTTTTGGCAACGCTGCCTAAATTAAGTCTTCAAATCCACATTCATACGAAAATCTATCGGTCAGTTGTTGACATGGCCTTGCATGCGTGCGTGCATCCGTCCGATGGTCTGTCCGTCCACTCCAAAGTACTAAAATACGCTAAAACTACAAGATTCATCGATGATTTATGTACTATAAACAACGACGGAGAAATGGAGGCTGATATGAAGAACATCTATCCTGAAGAACTAGTGTTAAACAAGGAAAATGAGAAGGATACAGAAACAACTTTTCTGGACATACAAATGAAAATAGTAAATAAACAAATCACAACAAAACTATACAACAAAAGGGAAAACTTCAATTTCAAAATAGTCTCATATCCAGATTTATCATCGCCATTTCCCAGGTTCGCCCGGTTTCCGAGAAATTGCTGATTTTGACCTCCAAAAGTCAAATTTTCTGTGAATACTAGATACTTTGTTGAAGTAGATCTTTCAAATAACTTAGTAGTAGTAGTTGCTATATATGCAACTTATGTCCTCTGAAGATTTCAAAGCTCTTGGAATTACAGTTTCTGGTGTTTTCTCTATAAAAGGGGACATGCCATTAAGAGGCCATTCTCGGACTTAGTCAATTTTTCAAAAGTGTGAAAATAAATAACCTCATGAAAAGTTCTTAAAATATTCTGAATAACATGTTGAATATATATATTTAATGATGGCACAAGCAAATTTCTTAAAATTAACATGAAATGAGGGGTTTCCTGCATACCTTCGATAAGTGAGATAGGCATTTGAAATTAAAAACAGATAGTATACTTGACATTTAATGCAGTAAACAGTAATACAATTCATTCTTACATAATAAGTGAGTCAAGACAAAAAGTTGTTATTGTGTTAGTTTAACTGGGCATAAATTACACTTATTGGCCTTGGTTTTCTTAATTGGCTTGGATAAAATGTTGTTCTATTTATTCAGAAAAGGAGTATAGTTCAATATACAAGTTCACATTCATTCCTGCTTCTTGTAGAAGTGAATCTCATATTATTTCATCTCAAATATAGAACACAAAAATAAAATAAAAAACAAATTTCTATTAATCACAAAAGTTAGCTTCTATGCAGGCCCGTAAGACACTTTTCTCCAAGGGGGGTGCGGTTTTTAGCTTAGAATATAAAATTGTCATTTTTTGCCGTGTAAATCAAATCGCGTAAGACAGAGGGGGGTGGGGGGTCAGTTACTCCCTATATTGGTTTGGAATTAACAAATGCAACTTCCAAACTTTCCAATTGTTTTGTTGGGGGTGTGAGGTGTGGTCCACTCCCCCTAGAAAATTTTACAGTTTTGAGATGCTATTTGGTGCTTTCTGGGCACTTTCAAAGTGTAAGTTTCTAAGTAGTACGCCACCACCACGGGAATAATAGTTGAGTGAATAAAAAACCGAGCATTCAGGGGGTCTGGGGGTTCACCCCCAGGAAAATTTTGAACTTTGGTTGTATTTGGAGCGAATTTGCAACCATCTGGTACGCCTGTGCGTTATGAGTCAATAAGAAAAATGTGAATTTTTTCAAATTCTTTTGGGGGTGTCAAAGAGGATGAGAGGGTGAAGTGGGGTGGGGTGCCAGTAGGGGAGCAAGGGGTTGTCCCTCAGAAACATTGACCATATCAAGGTGCTATTTGATGATGTCTGGGCACTTAAAAAATGTCTGAGACAATACATGAAATTCAGAATATTTTCCTTTGTTTTGTGGGGGATGTAAGGGGTGACTAACTCTCCTAGTAGAAAATTTTACAATTTAAAGATGATATTTGGTGCTTCTGGGCACTTTTAAAGTGTATTAGTCAATAAAAACATTGAAAAAAAATCACAATTTTTTTCAAATTTTGGGGGTGTCAAAGGGGGGGGGGAGGGGTGCCACAGGGGGAGGTGGGGCTGGGGTGCCAGAGGGGGAGCAAGTGTTTGTCCCCCATATCAAAATTTACAATATCAAGGTGCTATTCGATGAAGTTTGGGCACTTTAAAAGTGTCTGTGCCTAAAAGTGCCTATTTCCCAAGAAAATTTTACAATTTTAAGATGCTATTTGGTGCTTTCTGGGCACTTTCAAAGGGTATGAGTCAATAAAAAAAATTGAAAAATCTCAATTTTTTGGGGGGGAGGGGGGTGTTAAGGGAGGGGGGCTGCCAGAGGGGGAGGTGGAGTGGGGATGCCAGAGGGCGAGTAAGTGTTAGTGTTCCAGAATCATTAACTTTATCAAGGAGCTATTTGATGATGTCTGGGCAATTTAAAAGTGTCTGAGACAATACATAAAACAAATTCAGAACTTTTCCATTGTTTTGTTTGGGGTGTGAGGGGTGGCCCACTCCCCCTAGAAAATTTTACAATTTTACGACGCTATTTGGTGCTTTCTGGGCACTTTCAAAGTGTATGAGTCAATGAAAGAATTTGAGAAAATCAAAATTTTTTTTTGGGGGGGGGGGGGCAGAGGGGGGGGGGGTTATGCAAGTGCAAGATGCAAGAGGGGGAGTAAGTCCCCCAGAAACACTAACTATATCAAGGAGCTATTTGATGATATCTGGGCACTTTAAAAGTGTCTGAGACAAAACTCTAAAATAAATTTAGAACTTTTCCATTGTTTTGTGGGGGTGTGAGGGGTGGCCAATACCCCTAGAAAATTTTACAATTTTAAGATGCTATTTGGTGCTTTCTGGGTACTTTCAAAGTGTATGAGTCAATGAAAAAAAAATTACAAAAAAAAAAAATTTTCAAAATTTTTTTTTCAAATTTTTTTTGGGGGGTGACAAAGGGGGGTGCGGTCGCACCCATCGCACCCCCCCATCTGACGGCCCTGCTATGTCATGACGGAGTTTGGGTTCCGCTTCTAGAGAAAGAAGATATTCCCTCTCGAAATATCGTGTTGACCATTGCTATACACTCCATATTTAATCCTCCCTGTAAATAACATTGATATACAGTATACATATGAGGATCTGGGGTTTGGGTAATGTGAGACATGAGTTGCTACTTTTTGAATCTCATATTCAATATTCTTTCTTTAAACCCTCATATTTTTAATATTTTTGGAGTGGTAATTCAATTATTTACCTATTTGTTATCCCATTGAACAAATTTCGGAGGGATATAGGGAACGCCTTCGTCCATCCGTCTGTCCGTCCGTCCGTCGGTCCGTCCGTCCATCCGTCCGGGCAATAACTCAAATACCGTTGGCCCGATTTTGTTCATATTTTGTACACATATACCCTATGGGAGTAGAAGTCCTGCTCGAAAGCCGATTTTCAAAATGGCCGCTCATTTCAAAATGGCGGC